AGAACTGTCGGCAAAAAGCTTTTTCCACGTTCCTTCGTTGCTTGTATTCACAACTCATTGCCCGGGCAAATTGTTTTCCCCATAACTTATCTGTAGCTTGGCATTGAGTGGCTATTGTGGCAGTAAAGATACATGTATTACTATTTTTATTACATTTAGAATGGTTCCCGAGCTCTGCTGGGCAAGCTGCTGTGTGAAGTTAGTCCGATACTGTATGTACATGTGGCTGCCTATGTACCTTTACCAAGCGGTGAGCAAAAGACTTCTTCAGCAGAAAGCTCGTTAATGTGAATTTTATATCAAACATGGGAGACAGTGTTTGACCGCACTTCTACCCATGTAGAAGAAAGTTTGACGGCATTTGAGGTGTTTGGAAATGTAATGAAATAAAACACTCAAAACACTCAAAATTTTGAGACTAACAATAAAGACGGACCTCAAACAGACCGACTTACTTTAATTTGACTAACAATAGACAGGTCGAGACTTACCAGAACTGACCAATGACTGCTGACAAACGTTACTTGAGTCTTACAGCCAATACCATCATGACTAACCTGACCAATCACTTTCAACGGACCAGACTTATGACACAATCGAGTGACAACCACTATTCACTTGACTCTGAAGGTGACTTCCGCTCAGGCTGTCGAAACGTCCGTCACCAACAACAGTTCTTCAAGTTTTCGGAACTACCTTCACCCGGACGACCACACTATACGAACTACTGAATACTCCTGGGTTCAAACCAGTTACTATGTAGGGTTCAGTGTCTTCTCAATCAAACTAAACGGAGGGATACAATTTTACAAAACTTGCGCAAAATTAAAACTGTCACAGTAGTGATTTACAGTATTGAATGAATTAGTATTAAGTTTTGTAAGGATAGCTGATTGTTTATTAAAAACAACTTTATTTTTCAAACTCTGTTGGTATGGAGAGACTACAAATTAGTAACTAATAAATTCCTATGTTTCGATTTGCAGCTTAACTATACTAAGGTCCAGGCAGGTTATTTGTCAACGGTATTTGAAATTGGAGGAGTCCTGGGGACAGCCATGTTAGGCGTCTTTGTGAAAAGGTATTAAGAATTGAACCAAACAAACTCTGGGCCAGTAAGGCCCTGACAACACTGCGCCAGAGAAATTTGACAACACAGCTTTATTTCAAACGGTTAGGCCTACCGTCCACAAAACGGAGCTTTTCGAAAACGCTCTTCAAACTGGAGGAATTTGAAAACGCCGGCTTTGCTTTTTGGTGTGGACGGAGAACATTTTGAGAACGGAACTTTCTGAAAACGATGACGTCACGATAATCATGTGATTTTCGTGCCCAGGTTTTCCTCCAAAATGACCGGTGATTGTTGCGTTTTCAATTTTTTCCGGCGTGGTGTGGACGAAAAACATTTGATGCGTTTTCAGAGTGAAATCGCCGTTTTCAAATTTCTCGGGCGTAGTGAGCATAACCACTTCTCTTCCCTGACCAGAAACTTCGTTCTTCTTATTCTTAACTTATTTCTCTTTCAGATTCCTCCAAGGCCGAGCCATATATGGTGTTACCCTGGCTCTATTTGGCAGTACTCTATTCATGGCTTTGTTTCAATACACGGGTCACATGGGACTCACGGTCAATGCGCTCTTCATGTTCATGGCTGGAGCGTGTAACTGTGGCGTTGATCCGTACTTGACTGGATCAATCCCTGCCGAGATTGGAGAGCGAGAGAATGCACAGGCAGCTGCTTCAGGACTTGTGAACGGTCAGTAAGCTCTCCCCCCTGCAGGGGGCACCCTTTATATGGCATAGACGGGGGGTGTTCGTCGTAGCTGCTAGTGGTTGACATGAATTCGTGCTTTGGGCCACTTGGGATGTTCGGTTTTGTTTTAGCATGCGTAGCAGCTGCTCGAGTAATCGCGAGGCGGAGTGGGGCGACACGCGCGGCAAAGTGGAGCGAGCTCTTTCCTTTTCTCGCTCTTGTGCGCCGTTCGAACTCGCTTCCTCAGTATTACTCGAGGCGGCTAGTTTTGTTTCCATTTTGTACAGCTGCAGTGGGTGAAAACATTATGGTACCTCTACACCATACGAGACTTGAACTGCTTATCAGCCACAGATATAACCTGCGACTATACCCTTCCCCTGTATCAGTTCAATATTCAGCATATTTTTCTCGAGCAGGTCAGCATTGACACAGACACCATTAATATATAACATCTATGAGTTGGTCAGTCAGACCGAATTGAATTTTCGATACATTATGCTAACAAGGAGGTCAAAGAACACTCGAGCAAAAACGTTCCTATAAAAGATATGGCTGCTGCTAACGCTCTTGTATTTCTGTGTTTGTTAGGTTTTGGCGGATTAGGTCCCATAATTGAAGGTCCCATCGTAGGGTGGATCGCGGACGCGTACGGCTGGACAGGGCCCTTTTACCTGATGGTGGGTATGTCACTTCTAGGATCCGTCACTATGCTGAGAGCGTCCAGGATCGACCAGTCCATAAAACAGGCACAGTTCATGGGGACAATAACATCAGAAACTGCGTGATACTGTTTTGAAGCGGGAACAAGACGAACAATAGTGTACTGTTTGAAGCTTGATCATTTTAAAAGAGAGGCATTCTCAGACTGAAATACGAAGGGTTTCAAAATGCCTGTTAAGCGAAATTCCGTGCTTATAGAGTTGAGCTAGAAACGAGTATCAGTCAGTAAAGATACGTCCATGGACAACAGGCAGATTTGAATCGGCTGTGGTCGTTTGTTGCCCTGGTTACTGCAGTTCTTCCCGCGCTTTTTCTGGTCACAGAAAAAGCCTTCCAGATTCCTCCACAAAAGCGCGCTAAAAAGAGCTCTGGTACTCAGGCTACTAAAGGTTTCGTCGGCGCGCTTTCGTGGACTGGTTGCCCGGTGGGGTACTCCCAGAAGCAATATGGGTATGTGCCGCTGTGAAGGGTATGGTTTTCAGGCAGTTTAGTCTGGGATGGGTATAGAAATCAGACAGTTTTGGTCTAGAATAAGGTATTATTTACCGGAAAAGTGGCCAGTGTATAAATAATTTGGTCTAAAATGTAGTTCGTTACCCGGGGTTCTATAATAGAAATTGAAATTCGGAAGTGACTATGTAAAATATTCGTTTAGTTAACATATGTTGGACTACGATAATGATAAGGTTTTTTGCATGGCAAATAGCCAGTCTGGGATAGTGTATGGTTTTTTTCGTGCCTAGTCTAGATTATTTGTAAAATCAAGTTGATCATGGTCTAGTATAGGGTAAGGGTTTCGGTGTCCCAGCGGTACACCCCCACCCAAAGATTTACAGAGTACCTCCCGCGACTGGTTGGCCAAGCGAGGACCAGACTCGAAAAAGGGCGCGAAAAAGCCTCTGACATCCGGGAGAGGAATTATTTACCTTGGTCGTAGTGAAGTGCCCTCTTGTGTCAACGAGTCTAAAATAGTGAAGAATATGAAAGCAGGAACCGGCACAACGTAGGATGATTTTGTGAAGGTGTACTTATTTTCTGAAATAGCGCGTTTTTGTTGCCGTGCTTTAGCGTGGTAAAGTTTACGAGCGAAAGATGGTATTCACTAATTAATAGAAGGATACTTCTAAATTATTTGCGAATTCTGAAGGCAAAACGTTTTGCACATTTTGATTAAGACCAGATTAGCAATAAACAGTGGTTAAAACGTTCGTGCATTGTAACAAAATGGTATTGTTTTAGATTTTTTCAGAAGGTACTACGTTAAGACACGACGATTTATATATTTCGGCGTCTGTCTCTGTTTGCTCAAATGATGAACAAGTTTTACGGCACTCATTTGAAAACCGCTCTATCGGAATTCGTTTATGTTAACTCATATTCAATGATAATTAGTATTTATTCTGTGTATATTGTACCCACCATTTGACCAAACAGGACTTGGTCTATATTATAGTTAGGCTTTATTTTCGCCACTCACTCGAGTCCAGTCTACATTCCTCTCCGAGAGAGAGAGAGCTCAGAAGGGAGAGGAGCACGGGCACCTTTCTCAAACAGAGGTTGGTGATCGAACCTATATTTAGGCAATCGAGCACTTTTTTTCCGTATTTACATTGTCTCATCTAAACACGAGGCAGTTATATGCCTCTCGGGTTTGCATAACTTTCGAGAATAATCTCAACCTACGGGGTGTTTAGACGAGACTGTGTAAACACGGAAACAGTACTCTCTATTGCTTTATGAAATATTTCTCAAAAATACGCACGAATCTAAAACATCACAACCGTCTTTACATACTCTCATCAAAACAGACCAATCGACCAACGAGGGCGCGCGTGTGTAGTGTGTAGCCGACAGTTAGTCAATACTCAGGCAGGGTGTGAAAATTACTTTTATCATCCTTAAGGCCTTTATATTTTTTATGATTTTGCGTTAACTGCGTAAGCATGCTTAATGAATACCGTGCTGTCTAAACGTTCTTTCGCTCTATTTATCACAGATTTTGCATGCAAAACTGGGAGGCTCCACAGCAAGTTAAACAATTTTAGTCCACGCTTCTACATAACCTCCATTGCGTGCGTTCGTAATAGCAGTTTCATATTGTAGCTTGGCGGGTTTGTTGTTAATGAGGAAAAAAATGAACAAAAGCTTTGAGGAGCAGCATGGCGACCATTCTCGGCCCCAGTGCTACTCTTTATAATATGTTGTTACGAGAAGCTCGATTCCTCAGTTCGCTGACCACGTGACCAAAAGCAACTGGAGTCTCTGGGAACGAGAAGGCCTCGTTATTTGCACACTGAAAATTTTGCGACAAATTTTCTCCTCACGCAAGTAAAAATTGACGAGAAATTCTCAGTCCTCCTTGTTTCTTTTTTATGTATTATGAATTTATAACGTTAGCGTAAATTTGAATGTCGCAAGAAGTGACCTAACACATAACTGCATCGCTCCTTTTAGGCTCTTAAGAATTGACAAGAGACCATTTTACAGTTGTCTGCTCAGTGACCTGGCCTTTCGATGGCAGCGAGGCTGGAGTTGACCTTGTTTTGATACAGACCTCATTGCTTTTGTCATGTAAATGCACCTAGTTAGCATCAGAACAACTTGTTTTACACAATAAAAGCAGTGAGGTCTGTATCAAAACAAGGTCAACTCCAGCCTCGCTGCCATCTAAAGGCCAGGTCACTGAGCAGACAACTGTAAAATGGTCTATTGTACTTTCATTGAAAGGTAGTAAAATATATTCCATAAACGGTTCCTGGAAAATTTAGGGACTCAAGCTGGTGTCCCCTTAATAAAGGGTGTCCGGTTAATATGGGATCCGCTTAATACAGGTTTCACTGTATCTAAGAATTCTGCTCCTTCACCCAGTTCGATGGCTTTTGATTTTTTTATGCTCTCATTTAGATAATAAGCAACATACTCACTGATGAACGACCGCCGTTTAAATGAAAAATAAAGTTTTTTTGTCTTCACACACTTTCTTTGCTGAATTCTTGTATTGACATGCACGTAATCAAAGGACAATTTTCAGGTTATAATTTAAAAAAGATTAGCATAGTTCAATTCTACTAATTATTTTTCTCCGCTGAACAATAGACCTTTTGCATAAATGGCGCCAAATTTGAATAAAATACTTACACATCCTAAGCCTCATATTCATGGGAAAAATCCTTTGTCTGGAAACGTGAGGACGAGGCTAAGGATGTATAAATTATTGTTAATTAACAAATAGACCCATCGCCCGTAAGGGCTACGGGTCAATAGCCCATGAGGCGAAGCCGAATGGGCTATTGACCCGTGGCCCTTGAGGGTGAAGGGTCTAATTGTTTTAGTATCA